GGCTCTTCAGGGGCCGCTCTATATCTCTCTTCTCTGGTCTCTCTCTCTTGCTTTTGTCCAAGGGGAAGAGGAGTGGCTTGTGGGGTGGTGTGGTGGTGGGGACGGGTGAAGTTACCAAATTGGGCATGCGCGTCCCGCCTTATTACCGGACCGACCAGGGGTCTTCAATTTCTTCCCCAGTTTTTGCTGATTTTTGTTGGCTCTTTTGGGCGGCCATTCCGTTTGGGGGATTCTTCCCATCCTGGGGTTTCTCTTCTCGGCGTGAATTCCCTAAAAAAAAATTTTCGATTTGGGATGCTGATGGGGAAATCTCGGGAACCATGGCTGTGCATTCCACTCGTGTTGAATTACATTCCCCCGATTGTAGATATTACATTTCATTGAATGAGTTACCGAAAACTTAAAAGGTAAAGATTATTTTCGGGAGAACTCCAATCTCACTCTTTAGATGGAGCTATGGCTTGATTACTAGACGTCTTGTCCACTCATTGTCCACGCGATGTGTATGTGTTTAACTATGATCCTAATGCGTGGCCTGACTGTCCAACCGGGCTATGCGAAATAAGAGAAGCGCGGTCGAGGAAATGGCATGAAATGATGAAAACAAAAAGCATTGAAAACAATGTTAAAATGCAGGTAAGAAATAGAATGCGTAAAGTAATCCGATACAATGACCTTAGCAGGTGTACATTGGCTTGCCATTCGATCATACCGGCACCGCATGACAAGGTAATCGGAGGATAACATAGTATCGATTCCAATTTATCCTGCGTGATCCCTTTCCTAACATGCATTCCACTAATCCACGAGCGTTCCTAACTTCGACATCGATTCGATCGACCTCACATCACTCCCAAATCAACATCGTTCGGCATAATCAACTTCATCCAACGAATTGAGACCGAGATCAAATGAACTCACATTTGAAATCATCACCTATACCAATCACTAATCAAAATTGCAGCATGCATGACTTTGTATCGACACACCCTCGATCGAGCACGATTGAAAATATAATCGAAAGAATGTCCAACAAAAAACACCAGTAAGACCGACAGTAACAGGAGTCATACCTTGGTTTGTAGCATCAAATGGAAGATCCGAAGGACATGAACTTGGAGCTTCTTAGGTTCTTATTCCCTTTACTTTGGAGTTATCCCTTACACACTCTTCCATCAAGCGATATGCTTCAATTGCTTCACTTGCAAGATTATTCTGAGCATAGCATGTCCACCACTGCATCTTCAAGTATTACAATACATTAATCAAAGAAAATTTCCATTGATTAAAGCTCAATTGAAATTTTCTAGAGTCTTTTCTATAATTATCTAACAATTAAAGCTATGTTATCTCTTTGAAAGATAACATCAAAGCACATTCTAGATGTGGTATATCTTAAACTAATTCACTGAGCTTTTCCCTCTACCAAGTACACTTGGTCATTGACATAATAAGACCATGGGCATTGAGTACACTAAAGTTTTTACACAAGGCACTATAATGTCGTAATAGGGAAAAAAAGCACTATAAGGATGTATTTATTTTGCGAAAAATGAATGATTTGAAAATATTTTCCTAAAAGTGATATTTTGTATCGTCTGCAAAAAGGAAATAACGAAAAAAAATTTCATGATCTACGAAAGTATTTAAACAAAAATTGTTGCCGATAATAAAAATATATTTTTATTGAATAATCATTTCAAGCGATTATTTTTTGAAAAATATTTTTCAAATCATTCATTTTCCGATAAATAAACAGAGCCTAAGGTTAAAAAGTCAATTGAAATTTGATCAAGAGATAATGGAAATTCCAACCTGCTCGCCATGGCCGTCTTGCAAGCCTTTAGTTCTTCTCGCGATGGACGTGATATCCCTCAATCGAGTTCTCTTGGGACGAGACTCCTCCTCCTGACCCTTGTCTCCAACAGCGGCAATAGCAAGGACATCCAATTCCGACATTCTCTCGATCGCTCGATATGCACCTCGAAATCTCTCAATTGTGCTCCGACAACTTACTCCAATATTGCTTGTTGCGGGTCGACACTTGAGATCGTGATGGTGCGGCACTTTAGGGCGATGGTGCGGCACTTTAGGGTTTCTTTGACTCATTCACTCCTAACTAGGGAAGGCTGAGCTATGGCTCACACGCTCACTCGGCACGTATTGAATCGCAGAGAGACTCTAGCGTGAGAAGTGTCTGGGAGAGAATGCTTTTATTGCTCTTCTTTGTATCGGAGTTGAGGAATGATACAAATGAGAGAAATGGACCCTTATTTATATATGAGCTCCGTTAATTATAACCGTAGATCTTCTTTTGATCTAATGGTAGAAATACAATCTCCGTACCTACCAACTCTTCTATAATACAAGCATACCATACTTATAATACCTTCGAGAATATTCCAGTGTATTCACGAAACTCTAGATCCCTATAAGTTTTGAGACGTGCCGTGTTCATCTTGATCACCTCCTCGACTTATTATTTCCTTGAAATCCTGTGCTCCTCGACAAGATGCCATAGGCGATGAGGTGGTGGCTCAGCTTGGAGCAACGAGGTGGTGGTGGGGTGACGACGGTGAGGCGGACATCATCGGGGATGGAGACCCGGCGAAAAGGCGGCCGAGTTGTGGTTAGGTTTGGTTTCGATACGGTTTCCAAGGTGGGAAGATTTGGAACAGTGGGAGGGAAAATTTGAAAGGAAAACAACAATGTCATAAATAGGACCATTCCAATAACTGATCCAATTTCAAGTGGAACACAAAAGTGAGGATGCAGATTATAGAAAAAATTGATATGAGCACAAAAATGGTAATCCTTCTTTAGATTTTTCTTGAAAAAATTGTACTAGAGCAAACATATACAATTGGAGAAGGAGAAAAGGTACATCCAACTATACCTGCCGGGTGCATCGAAATAAAAGCATGATTTGATCCACGTTGGTTTGCTAAAACACTCAACTTTAATGACCAATAGACCGTCAAAATCACACTTAAATATACATTAGTCAAAGAAGTCTTCATTTTATTGTACTTGACCTCCATCTCGAGCGGACATCTTGCATCTTATATTTACATCATATTGCAGTGTTTTAGCTTTTATTTTGAACTTTTAGTTTGTACTTTGGATAAAGGAAAAAATCATCAAAAACCCCTAAATTATATCCACTATGATATATTTATCTAAAACTTTTTTTGGTGACACGAAAAATCCTAAACTTGTACTCATGTGACATATTTATCCCAAACTTATACCTATATGACATATTTACTTCAAACTCTTTTATTGTAACATCAAAAACCTTAAACTTGTATCCATGTAACACATTTACCTAAAAAAATTGGGGTAAATGTGTTACAATGTGTCACATGGGTAGAAGTTTAAGATTTTTGATATCACAAAAAAAAAGTTTTGAGTAAACGTGTCACACGCGTATAAGTTTTAGGTTTTGGATTTTTTTGTAGCTTTTTCCCCTTTGGATAATTATTAGGTCCATTATTAGCGCAACCGAAGTTTGTACTTCTGCTATATATTTAGGACATTTAACTCTTATTAAACACAATAATCTCAAATCTTGTATTCGTATTGACGCTTGAGCTCATTTGAAAAAATCTATTATATGTCATTTTCTAACAATTAAAATTATTTTTTCGCTTTGAAAGATAACGTCAAAGCACATTCTATGTGTGGTATATCTCACGTACTAATTGACACAATTGAAAAGTTTTTTACTAAATTGGCAATTCGTTAAAAGATTTAAGACTAAATTGGCACAATTGAAAGGTTTGAGACTGAATTGGCCTCCATACAATAGGTTTAAGACTTTTTGGACAATTTTCCTGTCATTGACATAGTAAGACCATGGGCATCGAGTACACTTGAGTTTTTACACAAGGCATTATAATGTTGCTCAAGGGAAAAAAAAGAGGCACTATAAGGATGCGTTTATTTTGCGGAAAATAAGTAATTTGGAAACTATTTTCCTAAAAATGATCGATTGTATCACATGAAAACATGAATGAATGAAAAATATATCAATTGTCCATGAAAGTGTTTAGACATAAATTGTTGCCGATAATGATAATAATTTTCATCAAATAATCATTTCAAGCGATTACTTTTTTGAAAAATATTTTTCAAATCATTTGTTTTCGTGAAACATACAGAGCCTAAGGTTAAAACGTTGATTGGAGTTTGATCAAGAGATGATGGGAATTCCAACTGGTTTGGCATGGCCGTCTTGCGAGCCTCGAGTTCTTCTTTGACCATTCCTTAGCTCCCCTCGATGGTAAGCGTCATTCCTCTCTTGCAATGAGCCACCGAGTTGATTTGAGGGGCCCCAAAATTCATCAACAAGCGCTTGCTCGACCACGTTGATCCACTTGACCCTTGCCTCCAACGGCAACAATACTAATAACAACCAATTCGGACATTCTCTCCACCACCTTTGAGCCTCTCGATCGTGCTCTGCATAACTTGTCCTGATGCCGCTTGCCATGGCCCCTGACACCTGAGATCGCGACAACGGTGGGGCACTTAGGATTGATTTTTTTTTTTTTTTGGTCTATCTTATTTTAACTCTCAAGTCACTCTCAAATTTTTATCTTGCCTCTTACAGGGTGTGAGAGTTGAAACCCACATCTAAAACTACATGTCTTCACCTCTCACCCCTTTTAAGAAGGTGGAGATTCGAACTCCCCACCTCCCCCTTCCTATCGTCCATTCCTACCTAGAGTCGCCCGAGCTCAGCCCTCCCTCGAATTATATCACTCGTTCCTTTTTTTTTTTGTGTCTTTATAATTAGGTATCGCTTCAATATCATAGAAGAATTTCGCTTTAGCATTTTATCGGGTTATCAGTTGGTCATGGAACAATGTTACGATGAAAATTAAAAAAAAAGAGAAAAAGGAAAAAAAAAAAAGGGCAAGGAATTAAGAATAAAACTATATCGATTAAAAGGGGCCAAATGACTTTACTATCCTTCACCTTGTTCTAAGCTCTGCTCACGGTTGGTGTGTAAAAAGACGGAGATAAAAGAGAAATCCTTCGAAAGCTCCGCGGGAAAATCTGCAGGAACCCTAGAAATTGAATCCCATGGCGGAGACCTCCGTCCACGGCGCCATCCGCCGCGGATCCTCCGGCGACCGGCCGACTCGCACCGATCCAGACCAACCTCCTCCTCCTCCTCCCCCTTCGCGACGAAGCGGAAGCCCTAGCGACCTCATCAGCGCCTTGCCGGACGCCGTGATCCACCGGATCTTCTCGTTTCTGCCCCTCGAGGACGTCGTCAAGACCAGCGCCCTCTCCAAGCGGTGGCGGTCCACCTGGACCTCCGCCACGGACCTCGTCTTCGATGGAGATATCGAAGGCCGGCCTCGCGGTACCTTGGCCTTCTCGTTCCTCGTCGACGGCGTCCTGGACCAGTGCACCTCCCCCTCGGTGAAGAGGTTCCACGTCACCGGCTTCAGATACGACAAGCCCTACCAACCCAAGGTCGACCTCTGGCTCCGCTTCGCGGTGCGGCGCCGCGTGGAGGACCTCCGCCTGTGGCTGACGAACCATTCGCCGATCTTTTATCTGCTGCCGGGAATCTTGTATAGCTTGAGCTGGTTGGTGCGCCTGGACGTCCGTTCCTGCCGTTTCTCGCTGGGTAGGGCTGTTAGGTGGCCTCGTCTGAAGGTCCTGTCGATCAGAAATGCGGAGTTGAGTGATGATTTCCTCGGGCGAATCTTCAGGGGATGTCCCGTTTTAGAGTCCCTCGAGTTGCACGGGTGTTGGGGCGTGGAGAACATCGTAATAGATTCAACGAGTGTGAAAGAGTTGGTGCTCGTCCACGGCACGTTCTCTAATCCGAAGAAAATTTGGGCGCCGCATTTGCTGTTGTTGCGTGTATTGGGGAGGCGGCATCACCTTAACTTGATCAGACTCAGACTCGACGATATATCTTCTTTGGTGGAAGCCGAGTTGGATTTTGACATTGTAACTCTTGACAAGTGGATGTGCTGCGAGTTGTTGGAGGAAACTTTGGAGAAGCTGCACCGAGTTCCCACGATCACCATTGGCGCTTGGTGTTTGGAGGTACAAGCTCAATAATTTTAACCATTTATGAGACATGCTCGTGTTGATTTGTGCCTGTGATTAGCACTGTTTCGTGGTGTTTGTTGTCCCGGCTGAGTGAGCTCAGCTTTTTGTGGCATTCTTGTCTTAAATGAAGGGGAAACATCGAGATCGCGCGTATAATTAATTCGGCAGATGGGATGACTTGTAACTTTGTGTTTTACTTTACAACATAAGAAAGTATTGTGAACCTTGGAGCTTCTTCCCTCTGTTTAATTTCCACTAAATGGATCTGGGATGAGTCAATTTTTGGGACAATGAATGCCCACTAGATCTGGGATCAATGCAACATTCTTGGACGTGATTTTCACAAGAAAAATGCATGAAGAGAGTATTTGAAAAGGTTACTTTTTCAGTTCATTCTTTCAGTTTGTAGAGAAAATTCGATTATCTGGAAATATGACAAAGAGTAACAGACCTAGTCATCTTAGGTTGACAAAACCGGGTCATGCTCTCTCGTCACATTAGGATGTTGTTCCATAATCATCTTACAAAATATTCTCACAATATTTTACGATGGCCATGGATGGATTAACTTGGAAACTTTAGTCAATAATGAGGTTCCTGTCTCATGTGACCAACAACTAGAATTTTCAATCCTTAAAATATCACAAGTTATACATGAGAAGCATATGTAAAAAGTCTCGATTCTTAAAGAGATTCACTTGTTCACTTCTACTTGTGGTATCCTATCGGTCTTTTCCTGGCTGGGAGACAGGACCAAAGGATATCGTATCTGAATGGATTGTAATTTTGTTATTCTCTATTCATGTTAAACAGGAAAACTGGTATTAATTAGCTTTTCTATGTTGCTTGCTCGATGTGGTTAGATTCTGTCCCTTTTGGAGATGAAAGGAGTGCCATCTCCATTGTCAAAATGTCAGAATCTGACACTACATGTACCAGTTAGTCAATGGGACCTTCCTGGGATAGCATACATGCTTCGAAGTTCACAGTGCCTGGAAAAATTAGTCATACTCCTGACTGACCTCCCCCCATTGATGGTATGTTTCTGTGGTATGATATTTTCAGTTTGCTTGTTGTGCTGACTTCTTTCTCGCACGAATGTTTAAACAACGAGTTAAAACTTTGGAAGGACATAAAGATGATTAATCTCAAACTCTTATTTGTTCCAGCAAAATTAGCTCACAATTCTGTCAATCTACTCAACATTTGTGCAGGGCAATAGTAAGCTGTTTTAGTTCATGTCTTAAAGTAACTGCAGTGATGTACTGGAGGTTCTTTTGCTGCCATGTAGTGTTAGGATCTTGAACTAAAAGTTTAGCGATGAGCATTTAGAAGGAGAACATGTTTTATATGTGTAGACGAGTTAAGAGCTTAAATTGATTGAGACTCGTTATAAAGTAAAACTAACTAGCATCTGCAGTCAAATGAAAGTTGTTTGTTTGAAATTTTAGCAAGTGAATGAATTTATTTTTCCCGTGGATCTGCATCTGATGGGGAGTCAGTTTCTTATATGAGGTATCTATGTGCAGTTTATGCTTGATGAAGAATGTTTTAACTTTGATGAAGAAGATTTTTTGTGGTCACGGAAGGGGAACTTTCAATGTTTGGCGAAACATCTCAAGAGAGTTGAGATCATTGGTTCGGAAGCTGATAGTTTTGGGTCGAAACATCTGCTTGCCCTGATTAAGTTTCTTCTTGGGGATGCACTTGTGCTGGAGAAGTTGATTATCAAGGCTAAATTGCCCACACGACATGGACAAAAAGGTTTTGAAGCTGCTGTTCTGTCGAAACTATTTGGTGTGAGCAAAAATGTGCTCAGCTGTCGAAGAGCTTCCAAACATGCTGAGGTTATCTTCGATTGTCCTTCTGAATAGGTGTCCTCATAAAAGCATATGAAAGTCCGGGTTTCGGTTAATCTCATGGCAGGGGTATGTTGGCCTGGGCACTACGCTACTCATTTGGATTCACACTCTTTTTACCTGAAGTTTGACAATGCATCTAATTTTCTCTTGTTTCAAGTTTCATTCTAGTTGTAAATACGAACCTCTCAAGGGAAGAAGTTAATACTGGTGCCTTGGTTCAAGGAAAAAAAATTTCCGACAAAAAAGTTTGTAGTCGGGACTAGACTGTGTTTACGGTTTGATTTGGTTCACCCTTTCGAAAACCGAAACAAATCGTGTAATCATTAGTCTTGCTTTTTTTTTTTTTTTTGCTGTTAGCTCCGTTAGGTTTTATTGGACGTTGATGTGTCTTTTTTTTTAGGAAAAATTTCAAATCAGTACCTAAAGTAGGGTCATTTTCTTAAAAAGGGGTCCAGAGTGAATATAGTGCTAAATAAGGGCTTGAAGTGCCCAATCAGTTTCAAATAAGGGTCCGAAGTGCCCAATTAGTCTTAAGTAAGGATCTGGGTTCGCCGGCCGGTTAAATGCTCGGCAAGCACGTCAATGTTTCGACGATCGGAATAAGGGCACTTTCATCTTTTACTTTTTAATTTTTTTTTCTTTTTCTTTTCCTTTTTTTTCTTATTATTTTTTTCCTCTTTTCCCTCCGCTGCAGGCCGGTGCCCTAAGGTTCGTAGGCAACCGTTTGCTCGACCATGTTGATCCACTTGACCCTTGTCTCGAATGGCAGCAATAGCAATAACATCCAATTCGGACATTCTCTCCACCACTTGGTATGCACCTTTAAGTGTTTCAATCATGCTTTCTGTAACTTTTACCACGGCCTCGACATTTGAGATCGCGACGATGGTGCGGCACTTAAGTTTCATTTGACTAATTTATTCCTAACTGGAATCGTCTGAGCTCAGCCCTCCTTCGAAATATCGCTCGTTCCTCTCTTTTTTTTAACCTTTATAATTAGGCACCGCATTAGTGTCGGCGAAGAATTTCGCTTTAGCAATTTATTGGGTTATCGTCGAAATAACTCAATTGCACAAAGCGAGTGTGTCGACTATTACGGCACCACCTTGGTTGGTCATGGAAAAATCTTATGACAAAAATTAAAAAAGAAACAGAAAGGCAAGGAATTAAGAATAAAACTATATCGAATAAAAGGGGCCAAATGACTTTATTATCCTTCCCCTACTTCTGAAGCTCAGCTCATGGTCGGCGTGTAAAAACGACGGAGATAAAAAGAGAAATCCTTCGAAAGCTCCGCGGGAAAATCTGCAGGAACCCTAGAAATTGAATCCCATGGCGGAGGCCTCCGTCCACGGCGCCGTTCGCCGCGGATCCTCCGGCGACCGGCCGAGTCGCACCGATCCAGACCGTCCTCCTCCTCCTCCTCCTCCGTCGCGACGAAGCGGAAGCCCTAGCGACCTCATCAGCGCCTTGCCGGAGGACGTGATCCACCGCATCTACTCGTTTCTGCCCCTCGAGGACGTGGTCAAGACCAGCGTCCTCTCCAAGCGGTGGCGGTCCGCCTGGACCACCACCACGGACCGCGTCTTCGATGGAAAGATCGAAGGCCGGCCTCGCGGTGCCTCGGCCTTCTCGTCCATCGTCGACAGCGTCCTGGACCAGTGCACCGCCCCCACGGTGAGGAGGTTCCACGTCACCGGCCTCGAGTACGTCTGGGCCGACAGGCCCAAGGTCGACCTCTGGCTCCACTTCGTGGGGCGGCACCGCGTGGAGGATCTCCGCCTGTGGCTGACTGACGGGTTGTCGTCCATTTATGTACTGCCGGGGATCGTGTATTGCTTGAGCTGGTTGGTGCGCCTGGATGTCAATCGCTGCCGTTTCTGGTTGGGTAGTACTATTAGTTGGCCTTGTCTTAAGTTCTTGTCGATTGGAGATGCGGGCTAGAGTGATGATTTCCTCGGGCGAATCTTCAGGGGATGTCCTGTTTTAGCGTCACTTGAGTTGCGGGAGTGCTATGGCGTGAAGAACATTATAATAGATTCAACAAGTGTGAAAGAGTTGGTATTCGTCCACCCCGCCTTCTCTAAACTGAAGAAAATTTGGGCGCCGCATTTGCTGTTGTTGCGTGTATCAGCTATGTGGCACTACTATGACTTTTTCAGACTGGACGATATATCTTCTTTGGTGGAAGCTGAGATAGATTTTCAAATTCTAAGTGGTGGCAAGAGGATGTGCTGCGACTTGTTGAAGGAAACTTTGGAGAAGCTGCACCAAGTTCCTACAATCACTATTGGCAGTTGGTGTTTGGAGGTACGAGTTCAATAATTTAACCATTAATAAGACATGCTCGTGTTTATAGGTGCCTGTGATTAGCACTGTTTCGTTGTGATTGTTGCCCCGGCTGAGTGACCTCAGCTTTTTGTGACATTCTAGTCTTTCATCAAGGGGAATCATTGAGATCGTGTGTATAATTAATTCGGCAGATGGGATGATATATAACTTTGTGTTCCGATTTACAACATAAGAAAGTATTGTGAACCTTGGAGCCTCTTCCCTCTGTTTAATTTCCAATGAATGGATCTGGGATGAGTCAATCTTTTGGGACAATGAATGCCCCACTAGATCTGGGATCAATACAACATTCTTGGACGTGATTTTCACAAGAAAAATGCATGAAGGGAGTATTTGAAAAGGTTACTTTTTCAGTTCATTCTTTCAGTTTGTAGAGAAAATTCAATTATCCGGAAATATGACAAAGAGTAATGGATCTAGTCATCTTAGGTTGACAAAACCGGCTCATGCTCTCTCGTCACATTAGATTGTTGTGCCATAATCATCTTGCAAAGCATTCTCACAATATTTTACGATGGCCATGGTTGGATTGACTTGAAAACTTCAGTTAATAACGAGGTTCATGTCTCATGTGACCAACTACTAGAATTTTCAGTCCTTAAAATATCACAAGTTCTACATGAGAAGCATATGTAAAAAGTCTCGATTCTTAAAGAGATTCACTTGTTCATTTCTACTTGTGGTATCCCTATCGGTCTTTTCCTGGCTGGGAGACAGGACCAAAGGATATCATATCTGGATGGACTGTAGTTTTGTTATTCTCTATTCATGTTAAATAGGAAAACTAGTGTTAATTAGATTTTCTATGTTGCTTGCTCGATGTGGTTAGATTCTGTCCCTTTTGGAGATGGAAGGAGTCACATCTCCATTGTCAAAATGTCAAAATCTGACACTGCATGGACCAGTTAGTCAATGGGACCTTCCTGGGATAGCATACATGCTGCAAAGTTCACAGTGCCTGGAAAAATTAGTCATACACCTGACTGACCTCCCCCCATTGATGGTATGTTCCTGTGGTATGATATTTTCAGTTTGCTTCTTGTGCTGATTTCTTTCTCACATGAATGTTTAAACAGTGAGTTAAAACTTTGGAAGCACATAAAGATGATTGATTCTGTCAGTCTGCTCAACATTTGTGCAGGGCAATGTTAAGCTGTTGTAGTTCATGTCTTAAAGTAAGTGCAATGATGCACCGGAGGTTTTTTTGCTGCCATGTAGCATTAGGATCTTGAACTAAGAGTTTAGCAATGAGCACTTAGAAGGAGAACATGTTTTATATGTGTTGACGAGTTTAAGAGCTTAAATTGATTAAGACTCGTTATAATGTAAAACTAACTAGCATCTGCAGTGGACAAATGAAAGTTGTTTGTTTGAAATTTTAGTGAGCCAATGAATTTCTTTTTTCCCGTGGAACCACATTTGATGTGGAGTAAGTTTCTTAAATGAGGTATCTACGTGCAGTTTGAGCTTGATGAAGAATCTCAAGAATGTTTTAACTTTGATGAAGAAGATTTTTTGTGTTCACGGAAGGGGAATTTTCAATGTTTGGCGAAGCATCTCAAGAGAGTTGAGATCATTGGTTTGAAAGCTGATAGTTTTGGGTCGAAACTTTTGCTCGCCCTGATTAAGTTTCTTCTTGGGGATGCACTTGTGCTGGAGAAGTTGATTATCAAGGCTAAATTGCCCACCCGACATGGAGAAGAACGTTTTAAAGCTGCTGTTCTGTCGAACCTATTTGGTGTGAGCAAAACTGTGCTCAGCTGTCGAAGAGCTTCCAAAAATGCTGAGGTTGTCTTCGATTGTCCTTCCGAATTGGTGTCCTAATATGCTGAGGTTATCTTTGATTATCATGGCAAGGGTATGTTGCCCTGGGCACTACACTGCTCATTTGGATTCACACTCTTTTGACAGTAAAGCTACCTGAGGTGTGACAGTATTAGGCTTTTTAACATGCCTCTAATTTGCTCTTGTTTCAAGTTTCATTCTAGTTGTAAATATGAACCTCTCAAGGAAAGAGGTTAATACCGGTGCTTTGGTTCAAGGGGATTTTTTCCGGACAAAAAAGTTTGCAATAGGAATTAGACTGTTTCTACGGTTTGATTTGGTTTAGCTTTTCGAAAACCAAAGCAAATTGTGTAATCATTAGTCTTGCCATTAGCTCCGTTAGGTTTTCTTGGACGTTCACGTGTATTTTTTTTATTAATCGTCACCGGATATCAAACAAATAAAAAAAGTCAGGTGACGTTTTTCGTTCACTTAAAATTGATGAAGTTAACAAAAAAGATTCAAATGCACGAAATGTAAGGTTTTGGAACTCGAGCGCATTGTCGTAACAAGTTCTAGGACTTGTCCTATAATTATCCGGAAAAGGAATTATCATATAACAGTTCGAGTTTGGCTAATTTTTTAGAGTAAAATCTAATTGTTTTTATACCGGGAATATGTATTTTAGACCCTTTTTTTTTTAGACCCATTTTAAGTGGCACAAACTTTTGAATCTGAAATTTAATATAAACTAACGACATTAAAGCAGTTTTATTGTATGCCCGTCCTTTTGGCCGATTAGCAGCTCATCACTAGTTGAAAATGCAAGCTAGTGTGGCAACGGCAGCGCAAATGCAAGCTCGTCTGATGTCGATCAAGGTACAGGTTCGCGAGATGTTTTGTGGTCATGCATGAGTTTGTATCGACACACTCTCGATCAAGCACAGGTGAAACTATAATCGAAAGAATGTCCAACAAAAACACCAGTAA